ACTTAATCTTGCTTTGCAATCCTGCCTCTTTGAAGACGGTCCCTTCTCTGCCTCCCTCCCCACTCCGGAGTCCTAAGGTCATTCCTGCAACTGCCCCGGAAGCTTAAAAGCAGCTTACAAGAGGGGCACCACCGCCAGCCTCCTGTTATTGGCTCCCTTAAGAGGCGAAGGAGAGCGTCTTCCCGGGAGTCTCATCCCTGACTTTCTTCCTTTCTTTCTTTTTCCCCTTCTCCTCCTCTTTTTCGGAAACGCCCAGCTCCCAGCTGCTCGGGATGCCAGACACTTTCCGCGCGTAGGTAACACCCCGCTCCGGGGTGCCGGGCTGGCTTCTTTCTGCTCATGCCCTTCTGCACCCCAAAGCTGGACCCCTTTTTCTCTTCCCCTCTCTTGCTAGCAGATCACCCCCCCCAAAAAAAAGGCAGTTGGGGGGGGTAATTGCGTGAGAGAAGTTGACTTGGAGTTTGCCGGGAAATAGGAGGGAACCTACAGAAAGCCGGGCAGCTGGTAAATTCTTCTTTGCAAAGCAGAATGAGAGTGGAAGGGAACCAGATTCTGAAACATTGCACCTAATATATATATATAACCTAATATATATATATATATAACTTATATGCCTCGCCTGGCACACCCAAAGGGGCTTCCTGTTTCAACAACAACAGAACCTGTCAGGATCCACAACTTCCATCCTTCCAGAATCCTAAGGGGTACAAGGGTTTTTAAGTGGGGGTGTGTGTGTTGAAAAACAGTGTTTTCCGTCTCGTGCTACTTTTGGGGGGGGGCAAAGGTGTTCCAACTCTAGTTTTAAAACCCTGTGCAGTTGGGGGTTTGTGTCAGCTGTGTTTGTGATCAAAACTCTGCCCAAGGAGAGGCTCGTTTATGTTGTTGTTCTGGTTTTTTGTTTGTTTTAAATTAGAAGAGCAAGGCTTCATGCGATAATAAAATGATCTGTGGCCCTGTATAAAGGAACCCTTGGCCAGTTACTCAAGTTTCTCTCTTCTCCTACAGCTCTTGGGGCGAGGGGACTTCTGCCCCATCCCAAGTTTCTGAGGTGGGAGGGGGAGTTAATTTATTCAAGTGGTTTTTCAAGCCTAACCTTGGATCCCTGGGGGCCAGGAATTTGTGTGTTTCCTTGCTTTTTTTTGTGGGGTGGGGTGGATGTTTTAATTCAGAGCCCCTCCAGTATTGGGTTTCTGTAATATACCTGTCCGTTGCCCCGACCTGTAACTTGCTGGTTTGCAGATGTGCGCTTGAGCATTATTTAAGTGAGCATTTGGGTTATGCGCCTTGGATGCTGAAATAACTCAGTCAGTAGAGCATGAGACTCTTAATCTCAGGGTCGGGGGTTCAAGCCCCACATTGGGCAAAGAGATTCTTGCATTGCAGGGGGTTAGACTAGATGACCCTTGTGGTCCCTTCCAAATCTACAATTCTGTGATTCTATGATACTTACCATATGTGCAGCAGAGTAGGACCCTGGGCCCATCTGTAGCCCAGAGGTGTGTCCCTCCATATAGGCCAAGGATGGAGGAACATCTGGGATGCTCTGGATGTTGCTGGGCTCTACCTCCTACCTATCCCCCCCCCCCCGATCAGCGCCCATGCTGGCTGCATATACTGGGAACATAGGAAGTTGCCTTATACAGAGTCCAGCACTGATTGGCATCAATTGCTCTCCATCCCTTCAGGCAAAGGTCTCTCCCAACCCTCCCTGGAGAAGTCATGGGTTGAACCAGTCAAAGCAGACGCTTGACCAGCGAGCTGCAGCTTCCTAGCAATGATTTGTGCAGAATAGATCCCGATTAGCTTGTGGAACGCACTGCCACAAGAAGTTGCATCTAGCTGAGGCTACCTTTAAAGGTGACTTGAAAACTACAACTAATCCAGAATACGGCTGCCAGACGGGTGACTGGAAACAGCCATCTGGACCATATAACACTAAAGGATCTACATCGGCTCCCAGTATGTTTCTGAGCACAATTCAAAGTGTTGGTGCTGACCTTTAAAGCCCTAAACTGCCTCGGCCCAGTATACCTGAAGGAGCATCTCCTCCCCCATTGTTCAGCCCAGACGCTGAATGTCCAGCTCCGAGGACCCCCTGGAGGTTCCCTCCCTGCGAGAAGTGAGGCTACAGGGCCTTCTCGGTGGTGGTGCCCTCCCTATGGAACACTCTCTCGTCAGACGTCAAGGAAATAAAACTACAATTCCGGAAGTCCGTTCTTAAATCAAAGCATTTTTAAACCAAGGCGAGCTTTCCCATAGCAGCGGGGGAGTCAGTTTACAAATGGAACATACTTGACAGGAAGCGGAACATGTTCTGCTTCCAAGGCAAAGTTCACAAACCAAAACACCCACTTCCGGGTTTGCAGCATTCTTAATCCAAGTTGTTCATAAACTAAGCTGTTCTTAAACCAAGGCACCACTGTATTTGACTTTTTGAAGGCAGCCCTGCGTAGGGAAGGTTTTAATGTTTGACATGTTAATATGTTTTTATATGTGTTGGAAGCCTCCCGGAGAGGCAGATGCATTCAAATTAATTGGCCTATATAAGTCATTTTCTCCGATTCTATGGGTCTCCTTTGAGTATTGCTAAGGTTAGATACAAGCCAAGAAATCTGGCCAACAAGTACTGGCAGTGGAGGTGCCCTGGTTTGGATTTGGGGGGGGCGGGCGTTCTGCACGGCTCACATAGTGATGGCACGCTGGGACAGGGAGGGCCATTTCCGTTAGTACCAGGGACGGCCTTGCAACCACTTTGTGAGGGGGCCCCCCCACTACAGTGTGAAAAAGCAGTGTGGGTGACAGGTGTGGGTGGATTGCACCTTTTTAAAAAATATACTTAAGCCACCAACTTCCTGGCTCAAAGCAGAGCCTCTTGCCTCGGTACATTCTCGCTGGTCGTTTCCTTTCATTTTTGCTTTTCAAGCTGAATATAATGCCAAGTCCGTGTCCAAAGAACTACTCTCAGGACTTCAAGGCAATTCTTTCTCTCTCCACCCCCTCTCCCCACCCCTGGGGCCAAGCCATACAATATTCGAAATTAGCCAGGCGCTTTCGGTCACTCGTGACCAAGTGAAGATGCCTGGGTGCCAGGATGGCGCCTGATGTCTCCACCATCTGGGGATCCGTGGATTGGGACTGTTTTCACACACTAATGCCGCATCCTGTAGAATTCTATCCGTTATATTTTATCTGCACAATTGGAATGAATTTCAGGAACCAAAATGTGTTTTCAGTGCCTCCTGAGCAGTAGCAGTGAACATCGTTATAGTGAATTGTTGTCACTTGTCTTTAGCTTCCCCCACTGCCCTGCTCAGAGTTGGGAAGAATATTCCTATGTTATGAATGGTCCATGTCTCCATTATAAGAAAAAGAGGTCGGAATAGGCCAATAGATTTGTGGGCTGTCGCTGGATAAAAGTGACTTTGCTTTTTTACATTCTCAAAGCTCAGTCAGTCCATCCTTTGAAAAATAAAACTTGAGAGCTGTCTTGCCCCAAAATGGCAACTAGACATTCCATTTTGGCAACTGCAGTCTTGGTTTAAGGAGCCATTTGGCTCCTAGCTTATATACCTGAATTTCTAATGCTGAAGCCGTATTAGAAACTGCTTCTGAAAGAAGGCAATCCCCATAGCTATGCAGTAGAACACCTGCTTTGCACGTAGAAGGTCTCAGGTCCTCTGGGGGTGGGGGAAGACCCCTCTTGACCTGAATGCCCCAAGAGCCCACCATCAATCAGAGTAGACCACAGGGGTGGGGGCCTCAGGTTCAAGGGCCATACACCTCCCTCCAGCCCCCAGCCCTGCTTTGTTTGCCTGGCTGGGGTATGTCCTTGAACTCTGCAGCAGCATGGTGTAGTGATTAGGGTGTTGGGCTAGTACCAGGGTTCAAGTCCCCGCTTGGCCAGGAAATTCGCTGGGTGACCTTGCTCCAGTCGCTACCTCTCAGCCTGACCTAACACACAGGGTTGTTGTTTGAATTACAAATGCCAGGGGGGGGGAAGTATGTACACCAGCTTGAGCTCCCTGCAGGAAAAGGTGGGATGTAAAGGCAATTAATAATAATGTCTTCGTTTGAATAGAGCAGGGTTTCCCAAACTTGGGTCTCCAGCTGTTTTTGGACTACAACTCCCATCATCCCTAGCTAGCAGGACCAGTGGTCAAGGATGATGGGAGTTGTAGTCTAAAAACAGCAGGACGCTCAAGTTTGGGGAACCCTGGAATGCAGGATAGAGATGGGGTAGAAACCCTCAGAAGGGAATGTGGCCTTTGGACTGGGAAGCCTGGAGCAAACTAAGGTGGGGAACCTCCGGATGGTGCGGGGATCACAAGTTCCACCATCATCCCTGATCATTGGTCATGCCGCCTATGGGGACTGACGAGAGTCAGTGTCCCAGCAATTCCCGCAAGGCCTCAGGCACCCCCAAATCCTGCTCTTAACAACCCCACCTGTCCATCTCGGTTGAAGGCAGCTTCAGATGAGAAGAGCTCTGCAGCTCACGCTTTTTATTTCAGCAGGGTGCTCGTATCTCTGCGTCAGAGTGTTAATTGGGCTGCTTTTGTTTTTATTTTGATTGTGTATTCTGTGTTTTTATATTGTGATTTTATGTTGTAGCCACCCTGAGACTGGTGGGTATAGGACGGGATACAAAACAAACAGGGAACATGTTGGGCTCATGCTCCTATCCTCCACCCCTTCTTTTTTTAAAAAGCCAGTGGCTATCAGCCACAATGGCTATCTTCTCCCTCCGCTGTGATGGTCAGTAAATACTTCTGAATGCCATTGCTGGGGATCATCAAGCAGGGAGAGTTGGTTGCTCTGGTCCTCCTTGTGGGCATCTGGCTGGCAACTGTGAGGTCAGGATGCTAGACTGGATGGGTCCCCTTTGGCCAAATCCAGCAGGGACCAGGTTATGTTTTTAAGGTCTACAAACCTCTTGTCTAAATCTCAACCTGTCTCACCAGTAACCCAGTACACCTTTTTCTCTTTTGACTTCTCCCTAGGTTTCTTGTAGTCGGGATCTCCCTCCCCAAAACAACCTTCGAAGGACTGAGCAGACCTTTCCTGGGAACCCATGAACGGCTGGGACAGGTAGGAGCTTCCTGTCTTGTGTGACTTGGAGGGTTGAGCCCAACAGTAGTCAAACTCAGAGCGGATCCACAGAAACGGGAATGTGGAGCTCACTCCTCCCAGGAATGGCCCCCAACTTGGATGGCTCTAAAGCAAGGTTGGACAGATTCATGGAGAAGGAGGAGGCGATCAGTGGCTGCTAGCCACGGTTGGAGGCAGCAAATGTTTTCAGGAGACCAGAGGGGCCCGTGTGCTCAAATCCGACTTGGGGTTTCCCACAATGGGCATCTGGTTGGCAACTGTGAGAAGAGGATGATGGACTAGATGGGCTTGATCCAGCAGGCTATTCTTATTTTCTTTGTGAAGGACTTGACTGTGTAAGGTCCATTAATTTCAATGGGTCTTCTCTGAGGAGAACTTAGTCGGTGACAACCCTTGAGGATGAGGATTTTAAGATGTCACTGTGGCCTGGTGTCTGGAAAAAAAGAAAAATGATAAGAATTGGTTCTGGCGACTAAAGCTGGACTCTCCCATTCTGTTTTTTCCAAGGCAAGGTACCACAGTTGCTGGAGGGCAATCCGCAGGGACCAGCCCTAGCTTCTTGTTTCCCCCAGAAACATTAAGCTGCCCTGATAAAGGACGTAGGCCCCAAATGTAAGAATCAGCCTGCTGGATCAGGCCAAGAGCTCGTCCAGTCCAGCATCCTGTTCTCTCAGTGGCCAACCAGATGTTCACTATGGGAAACCCGAAGCAGGGCCCCAGTGCAACAGCAGCAGGGTTCGAAATTAACCAGGCACATTTTGCAGCTGGCTGTTGACCACTTGCGACCAAGTGAATTTGCCAGGATGCTGCCTGACATGTTCACCATCTGGAGGTGCATGCCTGCGGGTGCTGGGACCTGGACTGTTTTCACACACTAATACCCAACCTTGTAGAATTCTATCCATTATATTTTATTTGTACAATCAGAATGAATTTCAGGAACCAAAATACTTTTTCAGTGCAGCCTGAGCAGGATGTTATAGTGAATTGTTGTAACATGTCTATTCTTCCCCCACTCAGAGTTGGGAAGAATATTTCTACGTCATGAAAGGTCTGAGTAGTAAACATTAAGAAAAAGAGGTTGGAATAGGCCAGTATATATGTGAACTGGATAAAGTGACTTTTCTTCTTTTAAGTTCTCAAAGCTTCTTAACCAAGCTCAAGGTTGTCATCTGAACTAGCCAGATGTTTAACTGAGAATCAATCACAGTCAGTCCACCATTTGGAAAATAAGACTTCAGAGCCGACTTACCCCACAATGGCAACTAGACATTTCGTTTTGGCGACTGTGACCTTGGTCTACGGCAGGGGTCAGCAAACCTTTTCAGCAGGGGGCCAGTCCACTGTCCCTCAGACCTTGTGGGGGCCGGACTATTTTTTTGGGAGGGGGAGGGAATGAACGAACTCCTATGCCCCACAAATAACCCAGAGATGCGTTTTAAATAAAAGGACACGTTCTACTTATGTAAAAACACCAGGCAGGCCCCACAAATAACCCAGAGGTGCATTTTAAATAAAAGGACACGTTCTACTCATGTAAAAACACGCTGATTCCCGGACAGTCCGCGGACCGGATTGAGAAGGCGATTGGGCTGGATCCGGCCCCTGGGCCTTAGTTTGCCTACCCATGGTCTACAGAGACATTTGGCTTCTAGCTTATGTATCTGAGTTTCTAACACTGAACAGCAGCAACTCTCCCCACTTGCAATTCCCAGCAACAGTAGAGGGAAAACATAGTGACTGTAGCTAGTATCTGTTGATAAGTCTTGTCCTGTGCAGATTTGTCTACCCGCCCTTGCCTTGCAAGGGGTTGGAATAGATGACCCTTGGTGCCTTCCAATTCCACAGTTCTGTGGTTCTGTTATTACAACCAGGCAAAAGGACTACCATGATGAGGGGCATTGCCTGGGAGAGAAGAGGTGTGGCCTGGAAAAAGAGAGAGTCCTCAAGGGCTGGACGGTGGGTCGCATTTGCCCCCAAGCCCCCCCCCCATCTCTGCTATAGAGGCAGTAGCTGTGAATCACAAGCATAGGAGCTCACTCCTAGGGGCTGAGGTCCCTTCGAGTCCCCACAGTAAAATATTTGAGGGGCTAAGGCCCCCCAAAGTTGATGGGCATTGCCATTCAAATGTGTGTGCACTGCCTCTTGTGATCGATTATGGGGAGGAGGGCTTACCTGCACCCCTACAAACAATCAGGGGTATGTGGTGGCATGGTTAGGAACAGGCAGTACTGTATTTTTCGCCCTATAGGACGCACTTTTTCCCCTCCCAAAATGAAGGGGAAATGTGTGTGCGTCCTATGGGGCGAATGCAGGCTTTCGCTGAAGCCTGGAGAGCGAGAGGGGTCGGTGCGCACCAACCCCTCTCACTCTACAGGCTTCAGAAAGCTATCCGCAAGCCTTGGGAGCTCCGCGGGAGTTCCCGCCGGGCTCCCAAGGCTTGCGGACGGCAGCCTGCAGCCCGAAGCGCGGGGCGCGCTCCGGAGTGCACCCCGGGCTTCGGGCAGATGTCCGCAAGCCTTGCGAGCCCGGCGGGAGTTCATGCCGGGCTCCGAAGGCTTGCGGATAGCAGCCTGTACTTGGGGCTGGGGTCGGGGGAAGCTCAGGCTTCCTCCGCCCCAGCCCCACAGCTAGGGGGGGGGGAATAAATGTTTTTTTATTTATTTTCCCCCAAAAAAACTAGGTGCGCCCTATGGGCCAGTGCGCCCTATAGGGCGAAAAATACGGTAACTCATCTGATATAGCCAGGAAAACTTTGGAGACTGTTTAAGGGGCAGCCTTTAATTAGGAGCACAACCAGTTCTTGCAATTCCCTGCCATGGGAAGCAGCGAAGGAGGCAAATTGGTGGCAGAGAGGAACTCAAACAGCCCCTGAGTTTTGGAGTTTAAGATCAGTTGCCAGGGAGGGCTGGTGGTGCTCATCTCCCGTTTCCAGGGTTCCCCCGAGACATCTCTGGCTGGGCGCTGAGGGAATCCGGACGCTGCTTGATGCGGCAGGCCTATATTCTTGCGTTGCAAAATCTGTGTGTGAGAGAGCAAAGAGGCAGGAATAGGAAGTCCCCCCTGTATCATTTGAGGTGTGCGCAGCCTAGTTTCCTATGCATTCCCTCCCTCTCTTTCTCCCGCTGGCAAACAAGGCCACTTGAGACCGGGTGTTGCAGTGAAATTGCCATGATCCGTAAGTGACCCAGGTAGGGCTGGACCCGTAAAATGCAGGTGGCTGGTCTGGTCCGTGGGGTGTGGGGGGGGGAGCCTATCTGCTTGCTCCCAGATGCTCTCTTCTCCACCTGACTTTGAGCAAGGAGGACCTAACCCCATAGCATAGCTGTCAACTTTCCCCTTTTCTTGCGAGGAATCCTGTTCGGAATAAGGGAATTTCCCTTAAAAAGGGGGAAACGTTGGCAGCTATGCCCCGTAGGTATGTAAGGGGGCAAGTCCTTGTCCTTTCCAAAGGTAAAGGTACCCCTGCCCGTACAGGCCAGTCTTGCCAGACTCTAGGGTTGTGCGCTCATCTCACTCTAGAGGCCAGGAGCCAGCGCTGTCCGCAGACACTTCCGGGTCACGTGGCCAGCGTGACAAGCTGCATCTGGCGAGCCAGCGCAGCACACGGAACGCCGTTTACCTTCCCGCTAGTAAGCGGTCCCTATTTATCTACTTGCACCCGGGGGTGCTTTCGAACTGCTAGGTTGGCAGGCGCTGGGACCGAGCAGTAATCGGCAAGCCCTAGGCGCTGAGGCTTTTACCCACAGCGCCACCCGTGTCCCTTCCTTTCCTACCAGCTGCCAAAAGTCAACAGGTGGAAACTTGAGGTGAAACTCGAGTTCCTTGGCATAGTAGTGGTGGCTAACGCTACACTTGTTGGACTTGACACCTGCAATGGGACTCCCTGTAAGAAAAAGCAGCATCAAACACTACCTCCTTCTCCCCATATCCACTGCCTGACTTCTGCGTTGTGGTCATATATGAGTGTGACCAAGATGAGGACCCAGCCGCAGACCTTTTTTTTTTAGTGGTTGAAGTTCCCATTTTCTTCCCTTTGTGTAAAGGAGAGGGATTTGGGGCGCTGTTGTTGTATGGAAGAAGGGTGCTTGTAGGAAGACCTCCGCTCCTTGCGCTGCGTCCCCTTCAGAGATCCTGAAGTTGTGTGTGCATGTAATGCATGTTCCATCCACAGAGGGCATGGGCTCCCTCCAGGCGCTGCTGTACTACAACTCCCATTGCCACACGCACATGCACGCGCACACACACTCTATCGAACAATGTGGGGGGCGGGCTACTGAGATCTGAGGGGCCAGCAACAGCTGGAGGGACACAGAAGTTTCCCTGACACTGGGAGGCACTGTGTCCCCTTCGCCCCCCCCCGCCCCCCCAGTATTAAACATACTGCCTACCAACATGTTTCGGAATCTTTCCACACTGCCCTGTGGCTTTTAAATTAAATAACTTCTAATTAGCTTTAATCCTGAATAACCAAACAAAATGTTTTAAAAACCCCAAAACTTATGCACCCCCCAACTTTTATTTATTTATTTTGCAGGCATGGTAGGGTTCCTTAAAGCACCCACTGTCCTTTCTTTCCCCCATTTCTCTACACTCCCCCCCCCGAAAAAGGCGGGGGTTTGGGGGTTGTTTTTTTTTTGTATTTTGGTTGTGTCCTCGTGCTGCTTTCAACTCAGCCTGGCTCCTGTGACTGACAAGCGATGGGGATGTGTGGCACAGGAAGGGTTAAGGTCTGCCATTTTGTTATGTAACACCCTTAATGGACATATCAGTGAATGGCATGAAGATGGCAGGGCTTAACCCTTCGTGTGCTGCAGCTCAAAGCTCCACTCTGTGGAGTCCCCCCCCCTTTGTTTTGTTTTTAAAGCTTTGACTCCAAACACACACACCTTTTTAAAAGAATCCCAAAATGCAACTTGATTTCTCTCTCTTCAGACATAGCATATATATATATATATATATATATATATATGCGCATACATATCAGGTTAATGAAATAGAACTTGCCTTTTAAAATAAGTGTCAGTCTTTATTCAACTTGAGTCCTGCTGTAAGTAGGTTGGTTGAAATCAATGGACCTACAGTTAGTCTGCAATCCTTAAACCTTACTTACCTGGGAGTAAGCCCCAGCAAATTTAATAGGACTTACTTCAGAGTAGACCTGACTGGATTGCACTGTCCTGCCCAACATTATTTTCAAGGAGCTACTCTGAGTAGAACTGAAGACAGCTACATTCCGGAATATGAGCTGTAATATCTGATATTTTTCTTTTTCCAAATAATTCTAGGAATGTAGGGAAAATGTGTTGGGTTTTTTTGTTTTTTGTTTTTTAAAGGACCTGTTTCATAAAGGAGAGAAACTTTTATTTTCTGTTTTTCTTTAAGGCTAAAACATCTATAACATTATTATTATTATTATTATTATTATTATTATTATTATTATTATTATTATTATTACAATCAAGAATACTCTGTTCACTTGGGGAGAGGAGGGGGTCTTAATTTTTTTTTAAAAAAAAATACATATTTCATTATGTCCACAGGTACAATTCCATGCTTTGGCTGAGATTCCTGCATCTCAGGGGGTTGGACTAGATGACCCTTGGGTCCCTTCCAACTCTACGGTTCTGATTCAACAGAATAAATAAGGAGAGGGTGGGTTTATGAAGGATCAAGGGAGGAAGAGTGTAATACAAAAGGTCCAGGCGGAAGAAACTTTTGTTTCACTTGACATTGAAAAGCTTGTAAATGAAAGTTGGCGCAAGCTATCTGCACTCGCATGGAGCGCTCGCCACATAAAAAGAGCCCTGCGGCTGCAGGATCAGGCCATTTAGCCCAGCATCCTGTCCTAAGTGTGGCCAGGCAAATCCACAAGCACAACTGGAATCCAGACCGCAGAGTTTTCCAAACTTAGGTCTCTGGCTGTTTATTGGTGGGGTTTTTTTGTGTTGTTTTTATTTTACTACAGTTACCATCATCCCTGGCCACTGGTCCTGCTAGCTAAGGATGATGGGAGTTGTAGTCCAGAAACAGCTGGAGAATTAAGTTTGGGGAAGCCCTGATCTAGAGGCATTTACCACCTCCGACCGTGCTGGCAGAACAGCAGCCATCCTGACTGGTAGCCGTGGAATCGTCCTGTTCTCTTCGCCTTCCTTACACGCCGATGTTTTTCCTTGGTTGTCTAGTGGGGATTGTTTTTCGCCTCTCCAGCATTCTGCTCTCTCTGGAGACCCATTTCCTTAAGATGTAGGCTTTGATTTGCATTAGTGCTGGAGGCAACAGCCCTGGTTCTTGTCCAGAGAGGCTGCCGTTCTGCATGCTAAGTTGAGTGGCTTCCTGTTTTTCATTGGCTTGCTCGGTTTATCCTCCCTGCACCCCTGCTTTCCTCCAGACGGAGCTCAGAGAGGTCTGTGCATGTGGCCCTCCCTTGCAGGGTTGTTGTTGCTGCTGCTGTTCAGATGACATTGGTATTTTTTCCAAAAGCAAGCTAGTTTCTATACATGGACTCTCACATACCCCTCTGCATGCATCCAGGCAAGCGAGAGGCGCGATCGGGATTCCAGGGCAATTCTCAGTTGGTTGAGAGACTGTTACTCTTAGGGTTGTGGGTTCAAAACCCACATTAGGCAAAAGTTTCCTGCATTGCAGGGGTTGGACTAGATGACCCTTGTGGTCCCTTCCAACTATGACTCCAACCAGACAAAAACACTCAAGAGGAAGAGTGCCTTGCCCCCACCCCACACAGGCTTCAACATCCCTGTCCCTGCTGTAGACAACGACCCTGCAGGTAGGCCTAGCCACAAAGCCAGTTGCGCCTGTCATAACCCCAACCCACCATTTCCTCTCAAAGGAGCCCAGGGCAGCAGAGAGATGGGCAATCCAAAAATAAAGCTGAAACATTTTTAAAGCAATTGCAATTAAAAACATCTCAGAGCTGTGGCAGCATTCTTCTCTCCAGTGGCCTTAGGGCTGCCCGCAACAGACTTCTTCAGCCACCACCAAATGCTTGGGTAAATAAGGAACATGTTCAAATAATAAGCATGCCTCCTCCCGTGTAGACCTGTCCATATGGTGAGGGTGATGCCCTTTCCCAAAGCTCTTCCCTCAATATCCCTGCATCAGAGGTGGAAATATATGGAAGCTGCCTTATGCAGTCGGACTACTTGTCCCTCTAGCTCTGCATAGCCTACACTGGCTGGCAGCAGCGCCTCTCCAGGCAGTTAGAAATTAGCAGGCACATTTGCAACTGGCGCAGGCCCAATTGCGACCACACGGAGACCTCTGGATGCCAGTTTGGCAACTGGGGTCCCTTAGAGAGAAGGATCTGAAATATTTTCCTTGAAGCTTGAATTTATTTTATTCTGGATTGTTTGATTTGATGTTTTAATGTGTTGCAAACCGCCCCTTTCCTAATACGTTTGCTTGCACGCAGAGTTAGCTGGTTGCCCAAAACTCACAGGATCAAGAAAGATTTCCTTTTTGTCGGGCAGCAGGTAGAACTCGCTCTGGCGGCTGTAGTGGCAGCTATGTATGGAAATGTCTGTATATACCCGATTTCTTTTTCTCTGAGCTGAGCCACTGGGTAGAGTTGGTGCTGCTTGCGGATTTCTGTTTGGGGGCATCTAGTTGGCCACTGTGAGGGCAGGATATTGGACTCAATGGGACTCCCCTCTGGTCTAGCCAGCTGCAGGGCTCTCCTCACCTTCATAAACTGAAATTTACCCTTTGCTTTTTCTTTTCTTTCCTTTCCCTTATAACCTTCCCTGCAGTGGCAAAAGAAAGCGGTATTACTCTCCCGCAAGCTCCTTTTCCCTTCGCCTCTCTTCCGAGCAGGAGGTGAATTTATGTCAATATGTGATAGGATTCTGTCACGAGGCACCCCATGCTGGAAAAGACACTGCCTGAATTATACCAGGTTTGTCTCCATTTCTTTAAAGGGAGGCGGTTGGGGGTATTAAAAAGAAAGATGTTTCTGGGGCTGCAAACAAACAAACGCCAGCTTCCTGTCTTCTAAGTGATAGAAGGGCCTGTCCCCCATTATTGTGACAGACAGGAAAAGGGGTGGCGGGTGTTAAGCAAGTGGCAAGTCGAGAATTGCAGAGAGGTAACTAGGCTGAAACTGACAAAGGTTGTGAGGTTTTCTTCTTCCTTTAGTTTGCAGGCTGGACTAACCACTAAATCATAGAATTGCAGAGTTGGAAGGTTCCTTGGCCATTGAAAGGAGTTTTGTGGCTTCCCTACCCCAGGAAGGAGCACTTCAAGCGTAGCTGTAGGTCCAGTTCTCCTTCCTCCTTAAGTCCTGCTGGGATCCGGTTGTGCAAGGTGTTTACACACACACACACAAACACAACTTTATTCATGCCGCATTTTGTGCTTCTGTTTTGCATCTTTGTGCTGTCCACCGCCCTGACAGGGCCTTGTACCAATTTAACAAACAACAGCTCTCTTCGGGTGCAAAATTCTGCAGACAAATTGTGAGCTTTGGGAATGGGGAGCACTTGCAACCCCCCCTGGATCTTGGGCTCCGACTGCCACCACTCCTAACCATTGGCTACGCTGCCTGCAGGGAGGGGGGAGTCCCTACACCATCTGCGGAGGGGGGTGGGCAAGCCCCTTGATCTGAGGAGCCAATTTACAGGGGCCAAGGTCCCTTGGGGTCCCCCATGAAATATTTGGGGGGGCCGCCCCTCTCCAAAGTTGATGGCCATTGCCATTCAAGTGGTGTGCATGCACCGCAGCATGTGATTGATTCTGTGGGGCGGGGCTTACCTGCCCCCCCCCACCTCAATATTTTATTCAGGTTGGCACCCCTGGCAGCCAGTGGCAGCGGGCTGGGCGCCAGAGAATCCTGCCTCTCTCCCAAATTGACAGAGCAGTTTCCTAGACCTCGTGGTTTGCAAAATGCGCTGCTGCTTCGGCTCTGTGAAGTCCGGAAGGGTTTTCCGTTGCAGGGACAGGCCACCTGCGGCAAACGCATTTCTTTTCCTGCCTCCACCTTGTTTTTTTTACGGAGGGGGAAGTTTCTTCCTCCTGTGCAATGCATCCTGGGAAGCCTTCCCTCCCCCCTCCCCCCACCTTCCTGGTTTGGAGAAAAGTTGCTTTTTCTTTGCCAACTCCCCGCTGGGTGATCCTCCTGGGGGCTGGGCTCATGGTGTTCATCGCACACCCCCTAGTCCTTGACTTGGCACCCCCCTTTTTTCTACACCTGTCTTTTGCGGGCACCCCATCCCACCCTGCGTCTCCAAAATGGCTTTCTCAAGCCCGGCCGGCTGGCCACCACCTGCGCTGCCCCTTTAAGAGCACGCCGTGGGGTGGTCTCCCCCTTCCCATTTATTCCCTGGGTCTCTGTGTTCTGGAATGCCCATCTGCAGCCCCCCAGCCCCACCCCACCCACAAGCAGATGCAGGGACGGTGGTGGCTCTCGCGCTCTCTCTGCTGCGAGGGGTTAACAACACATAGCCTTGTTGTCTGGAACCAGTTCAGACCGGTTTTCTGGAAAGTGCTTTGTCTCTCCCACTGAATCCTGGGAAAGGGTCATGTGTGGACCCAGTGATGTCATGGGATCACAAACTGACTCAGCTCTTTGCTCCCTGCCCTTCCCCACCCCCGCAACGCCAACCCCCAAATCAGAAGAGGTTTGGTGTGTGTGTGTGTGTCTGCCTCTCTTGCAGGTACAGTTGGAGAGGGAACACACGCCCCCCCCCTTAGGGTGGGGGCAAAATGCAACCCTCCACCCCACCACCACTTTAAAAAAAACTTTTTTTAACCAGCCCCCCAAATCTCTCCCAGCTACTTCCACGAGTTCTGAGCACTTCCTGTGCAAAACCGGTGGGGAGGGAGAGGGGCAGAGAATGGCTCCCCCCCCCCAGCCCTTCTCCTTTAAGACATTATCTCTGGTGGCTTTTAGGGCCAGTGGCGGAATAAAGCCGGTAATCTCTTTAGCAGTAAAAGGCATGTTCTCTGTACCTTAAAAAAATAAAATGCAAGGCCTTTCGCAAACCCCAGGATGTGCCAGGAGGGACTTGGAAACTTTCAGTCATGAGAAGCAGGTGTTCAGGATAACGGGCAGGTTTTTAAGGGGGGGAGCAAGCAAAATTAAGCAGGTTTTTTTTAAAAAAAAATGTGGGTAGGGAGTCTCCATGTCTTCTTGCAGTGAAGTTGCCCCTGATTTCCAAAAACCCATTTTGACTTCGCATTCTTCCATTTCCCCATGAGTTGAGTTGTGAGTTCTGCTTGAAACAGAGCTGAGCACCCCCTTTTGCACTCCCTAAGCAGCTAGTTCAGACTGCTGCTTCTTTATTACTATTATTTAAAAAAAAACCACACATTGTGATACTCTGATCTGTGCTGCCTGGATGACTTACCTTCTTCCTCTTCCCTCCCCTTTTCCTTTCCTTGTGTTACTTCCCCGCTCCATCAGAGTACCATAATGACAGAAGAAGCTTGCCGGACGCGAAGTCAGAAGCGAGCCCTCGAGCGGGAGATCACCCAGAACGACGTGGACTGCAAGAAGATGAAGATGGACAAGGGGCTCCTGGGGGCCCCCGAGGCCAACGCGGAAGGGGGAGACCTCAAGGTGAAGAGTGAACCCACATCTGGGAGAGTCCAGGGATTGTTAAAAGGAGGGGAGATGAAAGCCACGATCAAAGTGGAGGTGCAGACGGGAGACGAGCCGGTGGACATGAGCACCTCGAAAAGGTAGGTGGCCTGTAGATGTCAGGGAGAGAAAGAACTACACAGCTTGTGAAGACATCTGAAGGCAGCCCTGTATCAGGACGTTTTTAATATTTGACGATTTATTGTGTTTTTATATGTGCTGGAAGCGACCCAGAGTGGCTGGGGAAACCCAGCCAGATGGATAGTATATTATTATTAATATTATTATTATTACTACTACTACTACTAATACTACAGTCATGCCTCAGGTTACAGACGCTTCAGGTTGTGTTTTTTCGGGTTGTGGACCCACTGAAACCCGGAAGTACCGGAACGGGTTTGGCGCATGCGCAGAAGTGCCGAATCGCAACCCGCACATGTGCAAACGTGCCGCTGCAGGTTGTGAACGCTGCGGGTTGCGAACGTGCATTCCGCACGGATCATGTTCGCAACCCAAGCATCCACTGTATTATTATTATACCACCCTTGGGTGTTTCAACAGCACCTGGAAGGATGCACGTTTTCCCCATCCCTAATCCAAGAAGAGCCATTCCCCTTTCTCAGAAAAGAATTCCCATTCGGAAGAGAGGCATTCCTCCCATGAGATCTGCAGGGCCACTGGTTTCCCTGTCCCTGATCGAAGAAGAGGCATTTCTCCTTTCTCAGGGCGAATTCCTCTTCTGAAGAGAGGCATTCTCCCAGCTCTCTCCCATCCCTGGCATCTCCAGGGACTCCTGCCTGAAGCCCTTGAGATCCACTGCCAGTCAGAATGGGCAGTTCTGAGCTCATGGATCCAAGGGTCTGACTCTGTATAACCCCTGGGGGGGTGCAGGTCTTTTGAGGTCCTGGTCTGAATGAAGGCACTCCTCCATCTCTTGCATGCAAAATGAATGTGATTTCTTAGTTCAGGAAAACACCAAGATGCCTCCAGGGGACCTCCTTTCATAGCAGGGATGGGGAACCTCTGTGGCCCTCCAGATGTTCGGCTCCCCATCATCCTTGGCCATTGGAGGGGAGAGCTGCTCTTGCGCTCCAGTCCAACCTGAGGTTTTCCAAAGGCACCTGGTTGGCTGCTGCAAGAACAGGCTAGGTGGGCCATTGACGTGATCCAGCAGGCTCTTCTTCAGGCAGAGGCAAACTCCGCCCTCCAGATGTTTTGAGACTACGGTTCCCACCATCCCTGACCACTGGTTCTGTTAGCTAGGGATGATGGGAGTTGTGGTCCCAAAACCAGATGTTTTGGGCCGAGTTTGCCTATGCCTGCTCTTCTTATGTTCTTAAAGCAGACTAGGGGGAGAATCTTGGGTCTTAGGTGAAAAGCCGGTTGTTATTTATTTTGGGCTGCAGTTTGCAGTTTTCCTTGAGTGGCATGGTGTCCTCTTTGTAAGTGCATGCCTTCATTTGGCCAAAAAACAGCACAAAAGCACAGCAGCCGTCTCTAAAAAGTGTTTTCCAAGGCTGGTGATGAGCAAGCAGCGTTCTGGGGAGCCCCTTTGCAGGCTCTGCTTTCCCTGCGGTTTTAAACTCTTAACCCTGGAGCCATTTATTTTGTGGGCACAATTGGTGGAAATGTGAGAAGGTCCACATTTTAATTTTAATATCGACTACCCCATCCTGCCCAGGTGCCTCTTCGCCCTTCTTGGAAAACTACCTGATGCCTGGTAGCGTTTAAGGCTGTGCTGAATTTTAAAAGATTTATTTGGGATTGATAACAAGGATCCTTGACCTACCGGCTCTTCCGGGAGGACAGGTTATGCTGATGAGCTCTGTGTGTGTCGTCTGTTTGTGTGTGTGTTCGTTTGTTCTCCACACCCCACCCTACAGGCACTATTCACCACACAATTTCAAACTGCAAAGATGTTCTTCTGAGATACTTTATTTTATTTGAGGAGGCGGGGGGGGGGAGATGGATTTTATTTCTGCTCTTTTTACTTCCTGTTGGGGAGAAACTTTCCTGGATTCCAAAGAGACTTCTTTCATCCCCAAGATAAGTTACTGCAGGCACACACTCACATGACTCTTCCTGTGTGTCCAGAACTGGGAGGGACATTCAAATCTGCTGGGTATCCAGAACAATAGGGACTGGAACCTTGCAACGTTTTTAGAGGAAGGCCTCGTGGCAGACCACCTGCTTTGCATTCAGAATGTCCCATGTCCAGTCCCTGCCACCTCCAGGTAGTCAAGATTCTCGCCTGGGCAGCTTCCACCAGTAATTGGTAGGAGACAATACTTGCCATTCTTTGTTCTTTAATACTGAGCTAGGTGGACTAGTGGTCTGACTCTGCATCCTGTCTGATTTTATATTCCAGATCAGTGTTTCCCAAACTTGGGTCTCCAGCTGTTGTTGGACTACGAGTCCCATCATCCCTAGCTAGCAGGACAAGTGGTCAAGGATGATGGGAATTGTAGTCCAACAACAGCTGGAGACCCAAGTTTGGGAAACACTGTTCTAGAACCATGAGGGCTAGAGTCTTCTTCTTGTCTTTTAAAGGCAGGAGCCTGAACTGTGCTGGATCATCTGCTTTGTACCCAAAACCTCCCAGGTTCTATTCCTGATTTATATCCAGGTGGGGGCTGAGGAAGACACACACACACACCCTAAAACTTTGGGCAGTTGCTGCCAAGTGAACAATGCAGAGGAGGGAAGGCTGAGCTGAATGAAGCCAGGGCTCTGTGCAAGGCAACTTTCCAACAGCATGAAGGAGAAGCAGCTTGGATGGATGGATGGATGGATGGATAGATAGATAGATAGATAGATAGATAGATAGATAGATAGATAGATAGATAGATAGACAGACCGAAGTTCTTTGTGTTGTATAGAGTTTATTATCCACTGCTTAGGGGCTGTTGTAATAAGTGGTACATAAATGGTTGAAAATGAATAATGATAATGATGGTGATGATAATATTAAAAATAGAAATACCCACATGAACAATAAATGCTGCAGTAAAAAGGAAAAAAAGCTTCCTGGACAGCTGTAGCAGGGGGTTGGACTAGATGACCCACAGGGGTCCCTTCCAACGCAACCATTCTGTTACCCTTCCTCCAACGGCCAGCCCCCTGAAAAAGGACTTTAATATTTGGGGGGAATAAGTTCCACTGGACCTGATGGAGGCTTGCTCCCAAGTAAACGTATGTGGTATGTTGACGTTTGAACAAGGGAGGAGGCCCTACCTAAAAAGCGCTTTGGGCAGTAGAAGTCTGTGGTTTTGTGCACAGTTTTTCTTTGCAGTGTCTTCCTAGATTTGCATACAGTTCCCACCATTGTACCCAAAGTGGCTCACAAGGATACCCTGATATTTTCATTTTTAGCTGCTGTTGTTGTTTGCATTGTTTTGAGTTTATTATACGCTGCTGCGTAGAGGCTGCTGCAATTGAGTGTTATATAAATTGTTGAAAATAGTAATAACTCAGTTGGTTAGAGCGCAGTGCTGATAATGCCAAGGTTGCAGGTTTGATCCCCGGACAGCTGTGTATTCCTGCGTTGCAGGGGGTTGGACTGCATGATCCTCAGGGTCTCTTCTAACTCTATACAGTCATACCTCTTGTTGTGTTTGCTTCACATTGCGGCTTTTCAGGTTGTGAATATGGCAAACCCTGAAGTGTATACTTCCGGGTTTCACCGTGTCCGCCCCCTGCGCTTGCTCCGCGCTTGCACAGAAGCACCGCTCTAGTTGCGGACTTTTCAGGGTGCGAACGGCACCCCAGAATGGATCGTGTCCGCAACTAGAGGTCCCACTGTAATTCTAATAGTTATTTGCATTGTTTTGAGTTTATTATCCACTGATTAGGGGCTGTTGTAATTGAGTGGTACATAAACTGTTGAAAATAAATCATTTGCATTGTAGGACCTTTTGGTATATAAAATTATTGATGATGATGATGGTAATCATAATAAGATATTTGCATTGTTTTGAATTTATTATACTGTACACTGCTTAGTAATGGGACGCGGGTGGCGCTGTGGGTAAAAGCCTCAGCGCCTAGGGCTTGCCGATCGAAAGGTCGGCGGTTCGAATCCCCACGGCGGGGTGCGCTCCCGTTGCTCGGTCCCAGTGCCTGCCAACCTAGCAGTTCGAAAGCACTCCCGGGTGCAAGTAGATAAATAGGGACCGCTTACTAGCGGGAAGGTAAACGGCGTTTCCGTGTGCGGCTCTGGCTCGCCAGAGCAGCGATGTCACGCTGGCCATGTGACCCGGAAGTGTCTCCGGACAGCGCTGGCCCCCGGGCTCTTGAGTGAGATGGGCGTGCAACCCTAGAGTCTGTCAAGACTGGCCCGTACAGGCAGGGGTACCTTTACCTTTTTACACTACTTAGTGGCTGTTGTTAACAAGCGGCATATAAATCATTGAAAATAAATAATGATAATATAAAAATAGAAATACCCACATGAACAATAAACGCTGCAGTAAAAAAACAAAAACCTAAAATAATGCAAATCAATACAGAAAACAAATCCATACAGTATTGTGGGTTATATCCAACATTAGCTAGAGAGCAGAGCTATTGAAAGGAATGAATTAACTTAAGTTCCTTAATGGGTCTACTCTTAGTTGGAGGAAACCTACCTAGAAACGTTAAATTGCGTAAGTAGGTAGATAATAAATAAAAGTAGGTAGATAATAAAAAAAAGTTTTTCCTTGAACCTAGTAGGATGCCATTAATCGCTGAAGCCACATATAGTAATGGTTTGGTTTTTTAAAAAAATATGTATATTATGTTATGCATTTTGTGGTTTTATGTTGTAAAATACCCTCTGTGATCTTTGGATGAAGGGCAATATATAAATTTAATGAATTTATACAAATCTAAATAATCGTCATAATATCTGTTGCCATAAGAATAGAAAGTTTCTGTTTGGTAGTCACTGCAATAAATATATAAAGATATTATGCAAAACGATGCAACTTAGCCAATGAAATTAGTGCCTTTAAATGAAGCAGGGAGGAATTACGATGTTAAATGCAGAAATAAAAAAAAAACGTTAGGTGTTCAAAACAGGTTCTGCAGAATCTCACAGTTCAGCTGGTTTCAGAAAGTT